TTCTTGTGGTGAGTTTTCAATTTGACAGTTTGGGTGTGGAAGGATCTGCGTTTATGTCTAGTGCAAAGACGAGGCACATGGAGGGCCCGGAGAAGTGGATCAGAGTATCGTCTTTTGCCTCAAATCACCAGAAAGGCCTACACTCTATTATTTGACCACAAGGCCGCGGCTAATTGCTTCAGTGTGTGCGCTCCGCGAGACGGCAGCGGTCGGGAAAACTGAGCAGCTGACGTGTCCTGTTGTATTTGATATGGCACCGAGTTCTCCTGCGCTGCAGTTTTAGCGAGGCCATTGACCCCAGGCTCAAAGAAAATAGCAATGAATTTTCCTTGACTTCTGGGGTTCAAGGATTGGAGAGCAGGAGGAAATATGGCAGAATTCAATTTGGGTTGGAATCTGTATGAACATGTAGGATCTATTTCAGCGTGAAAGAAGGTTTGTGGGATCAGGTAATGTGTTTGAGTAAGATGATTTTCCACAACTCGAGGGAGGTTTTAAATTACACTTCTGTTTATAGTATTGTTAATGATCCGTTATTCAATTAGAACGATTCACTATCAGAAGGTCGTTCACTCTTTAAGTTTCCATGCACAATCCAATCCTTGCATGTTTACAAATAGGACCTGGCTTCTCCCTTTTTGTGCTCAAAAACAAAACAAAAACTTTCAGGAATAGCACTGCCACTTTGACAAGTTTACAATATAAAGGTATGTAATTGACGTTGCCTTTTACCAAATCTTGCTTATAACAGAGTCCAGTACAGTTTATTTGTCCTCTCTGAAGCACTCATAAACTGTACTCATTGCAGCTTCATTTCATTTAATAGCAGACGAAAACAATTACATTAAATTCCATTGTTCTGTGATGGAGAGGCTGTAAGAATCCTCACTGCTGCTTATCTAAAACCATATTCCCCTGGCTGATTCCTAACTCAAGCACCTAAAGTTGGGGTTTCTAACTTTCAAATCACACAAAATAGAAGCATGTATTAAAATCAGTTCCTCACTTTCAAAACAATAAAAGTTCTATCACTACTTTTCACCTGCATCTGTCACATCTTCAGATCAGCTTTTCCAAACAGAAAGGTGAAAATAAGTGGACCGTCCTCAATCTCAAACTCACAAAAACAGAAGATAGACAGCATGTTTTGGTCTGATTTGTTCACATATTTTTACTTTAGCCAGTCTCCCTCTATTGGGACAAACAGCATGTATTATTTATGGCGGGGAAAGGCTAGGTACCCCAGTTTTAAATGCTTGTAGTATTATGTGGCTGTTACATGCTGCACGGATCAAAGTACACATGTTTTCTACTGTGTTGTTTATGTGTGAGCATATCAACAAAACTTCAGTCAAAGGGCCCAGGTTTATGTGCATTCTTGAACAAATTACACACAGGCCACTGACAGTTTTCCTGGATGTGACGGCTGTTGTCTGAAAGTGCCTCACTATGTAACTTTTGTCCCTATAAAATACACTGATATTATTGTATGTTTTTATACCTCTGTTCCTTTTGGCTTTAATATTTCAGATTATGACATTAAACATACACTATATTTCAACCCTTTATTTCCATGCACTCATGCATTTACAGTATTTGTATTATTTTAATGTTTACCACTTTACTGTCTTTAATGTCTTTTTCTCCAACCAATACCAACATCCAAAATTTGCCCTGCTGTATTAGCTGATAATTTGTCATTACATATAGATTGATGTTACATATGATAGTAAAGTTTTGATTGCTCATCTGGTCCCATCAACAATTTTACAGTAACAAAGTGTGACTTCTCTGTCTTATTTATTAGTTTATTTGAATAGGGACAGTATACACTAGTTAGCATTACTGTAAATGTGCCAGTATTACCTATACAGCTAGTTTTCAATACACAGTTGTAGCTATTTGTCTCATTCCAAGTGAGAATTCCCTTGCCTCTCTGTTGTGATAAATCTATCGAGTGTCAGTATATGGCATAAACCTTATGTCTACATTCACTGACTCTTATTTCTGAGCCTCAACATGATTAACTCATGATGACCAGACCCCCCAAAATATCCTGCAGCCTAATGTGCAGCAGCCTTCATTTAAATGTTGTTTGAAACATGCTTCACCACAACTCCCTCTGCAGCCCATAATAGACATAATAGACTCTTTATAGCCCAGCACCACATTAAAGCTGACTATAATGAGCCTTATGCAATATTCTGTCATGTTCAATCACACTATAGGAAACCGGGAAAAGCTTTTGAAAAAATAAACACTGGTTAGGAAGCTTTAAAACTCTTTTGGCACATACAGTTACACCTTCAAGCGAAACATATGTAAAACAGTCATGTCCAAAAAGCCTATACATGTCTATCTTTGCTTTATGGTATTGTTGAGGTTTTAAGTACTCTTTGCAAATACACACTAAGAAAAATGTAAAATCTTGTTGAAAATAACCCCACATATACATTAATGTTAAGTTCTATATGAGTCGGTAGTTTGAGTGCCAAGTGGACTCTTGGACAAAAGTGCATTTTAGAAAAAACTTAAATCACATGTATGATTCTATTATAAAACCATACTATGGAACATTCTCTGTTCAAAGGCAGCGTCTTTCGTAAGCATAGTAAGCGATCTTAGTGGTGTCAAGTCATTACATTTCCAATCCAAATTTTGTTGCCAGAATTCTTTCTGCCTGTGACACATGTAGCTTCTAACCACTGATTACTGATGGAAACCACTGGCTGGGGTTGAGCTTGAAACAGTACACATTAAACTATTTTCCACACCTGCTACGTACATTTCACCTTACTGGCACCCCAGATGAGAGATACATTCTGCTCTCCGATTGGATAATTTGGTTTAAAATTGTAACACAAATATAATGGACATTGTTTCCATTGTATTTTTTTCTAAAGAATAACTCCACTTTTAACTTTGGTTCATAAAAGGTCAATTATGATTTGTATACGTTAATCTGTTATCTGGGGACTCATAAAAAAATGTACATGTAATTTAAAATAAAAATATGAAATACACTCCTTAGCATGTAAACATCTTTCGTAACTGTTTATGAGTTTAGAGTTTATAAATAATCTCAATATAAAGTTACATTTGTTTGCAATATTTTAAAAATGAAACATTTTCTCAGTTAACACTCTCTGTTTAGTTCCCAGTCTGTTCTTTAAAGACTCATTAAACTTCATCTAAAATGCACAATTACAAAATGAATAATTAATTAACGCCATCAAATATTAATGCTACTGTAAACAGGAACACATGCTCACTGTAGAAACACATCTCCAGAGCCCAAATCCACAAAGACCACAAAGTTTGTTTTCCAAATGTTGTTGATGCAAGGTTCCCTGGATAAAGGAGTCATGAATGCAACACAAACAAGTCCAAACGTCAACATTCACTGTACAAAACTTCAGAAAAAGAAACTAATTGTGTTATTTTCTCTCATTCACATAAAACATTTGACATAAACCATTCAGTCAAATACAGGGACAAAACCTCTATCTCAATGCAGCACATAGTATGGCTCTGGGTTCTTTTACATTGTCTTGACAGAGAACTCATTACCCATGAACTTTTCCACATTATGTCTCGTTACGACGACTAAAAAAAAGGCAAAATGCAAAAGATGTCTGCAGCTTGGGCCTCTCTGCACCAGCTCTCTGATCCTGGTCCTTGTTCTGCTTGTAGTTTGGGCAGACGGTCTTGTCTTGGTAGGTCTTCAGTTGAGTCATACTCTTTCCATTCCCAGATGATGGATTAGGCAGAGCTAAGATGTTATAATATTGGGCAATTTTAGTATAACCAAGCTTTAAATTGAACCCTAAGTTCATCCCTGACCTTGTTGATGATCTTAACTCAAACATCAGAGGCCATCATAGAACAGCTGATATACTGAGATTAGATTCTGGTGAACTTTTCTAAATAGTCCGTTCTTCTAAAAGCAATTATTTGTATGACCGGTTGTCGCACTTTGGGACAAACGCAAGAGATAATATTCAAGGGATTAGATCTCTAAGGTCGTGGTGTACAAAGTTTGATTCATTAACATTTATTAACCAACTCTGGGACCATACTTTCTTGTTGTATAATTTACAAAAGTAAAAGTACAGTATTGAGTAGTCCTGCAGTGAGAGGCGGAGTCAGAGGAGGTGTGAGGAGTCTCAAATATCAGCACAAAAAGAGCAGCGCTTCAGAGGAGCAGATGAGTTTCTGGAAGGTTTCCTCCACAATGTTCTGATTTCTCACTTTCTTCTTTATCTCCAAATGTTACGCATTCATTTTTACTTGAGAAATTAAGTGTACAAGTCTTGCCTAAATGAACTTGATACCAGCTTTAAGTTTTTTATTGAATTTGTTCTGGCATATTCTTCTTTTTATTGTCTTTTAATTAGCACAGTTTGGGTTTGTGTTGATGTGGTCTGCAGTACAGATGTGAGGTTTTATCTAGTATGTTACTGCAATGGTTCTCAGGTTAAGTTATTATTAGACGGATAAACTAAACTGTGGTGATGTGGTTGTGTAGGTCAGTGCTTTGTATTAATTCTATTAATTTATTCCGTCTCTAATTAATCAATGCAGGCATTTACAAATATAATTAGCTTTTGCCTACAGTGTACAATGAGAAATGTAAATTCAGCATACTCTGCAGTGATGCTTTATAGGTAAAATATTGTAAATCAATGGTGGTGTATTGATAATTACTGTATAAGGAGGTTAATATGTCTGTGAATCACAACTTGGTGTGAATACAAAATGTAATGTGAAAATTTGCAGTAATCAATGCAGTTAGTTCTCATAAAGTGAAAAGTGTCTTTTGAAGTCTTTCTCAAATATATTTAATTTAATCGATATGCTATAAACAAAAGTGATTATGACTTTTTGTGATGTTAAATTATAAAGAAGCTTTCTTATGGATTGTTGAATTCACATGATTATGTGTACCTTATCTGTAACTTTCTTGAAACTGGTTTTAAGTGTCTATTTATAAGTTGATCATGAGCAACATTTCTGGCCCCGGCCAGGGGCAGTTCATGTCAGTGACAGAACTGGGGGTGACCTCCGCCGTCACCACGGTGCTGTGTGTGTTGTGCTTGTGGGTGAATGGTCTCCTGCTGTGGACGCTGCGCTCCAAGGCCATGTTCAGGGAGACGCCTCGCTACAGCCTCTTGTCCTGTCTGCTGCTGGCCGACACGCTGCACCTGAGCCTGAGCCAGCTGCTTTACCTATTCGCTGCTTCACACACTATGCTGCTGTTCCCCTTGTGCGCCTTCATCACGCTCTTAGTCGAAGTGGCCAACGAGGTGTCCCCGCTCACTGTGATGCTCATGTCTCTGGAGCGATATGTGGCCGTGTGCCTTCCTCTGCGTCATGGCGCTCTGTTGGGCGGGCGGCGGGCGACTGTGGCCGTTCTGTTGCTGTGGGCTCTGTCCATGCTGAACTCAATGGTGCGCGTGGGGCTCCTGATGCAGTTCCCTTTTCACACACTGGACACTCTAATGCTGAGCGACTACTGCAGCAGCGAGGCCATCAAGATAGCTCCTCTATCAGCCATCTACGACGAAGGATACATCTACTTTGTGTTTGTCTTTTCCACGTTGGTCATCTTGTGGTCGTACGTGATGGTGATGACGGCGGCACATCGATGTGCGTCAGAGCAGAGTGTGAAGGCTCGGAACACCATGATGCTCCACATGCTGCAGCTGGTCTTCTGCATGTGCGCCACTATCTACATGCCCATGATCATGGCCATAGCGCGCAGCAGGACACTTAAGCGGCTCACTTTTGTGCGAGTCCAGAACACCCTTTACGTGCTCATCATGATACTTCCCCGCTGCTTGAGTGTGCTCATCTACGGCATCAAGGACCAGACCATCAGGGCTACACTGCTCACTATACTCTGCAGAAAACACAAAACACAGCCGAGAGAGTAGAGATTGATGTCTCTCTTTTATTTCATTACAAAATTATGGGGTAGATTCATTCTCACTCCAGTGAGCGGGCAAGTAGGAACTGAAACTTGTAAATTAATTTATCAAATTTTGAGTGCACCTTCATAGCCTCATGTCATGTGTACATTTTGAACAGACTCAATATAAAAGTGTCCAACTTGTCCTTTTCATTACATTTTCAAAGTCCAACCTGCACATCCCTCTCCTGATGGATTAATGAAGAGCTGTGGTTGAAGCAGGTCCACACTATGAATCAGGTGTGTCAATCTGTAGCTTCTCTATCGCAGCAACAACATGCTAACAACATGCTAAGTGTGAAAATCCATTATATATCAGTGTTATTGAGTTTGGCAAATGTTACTGCCTAATATCCAATGGTAATAGACAAAGTTGATCTCCACTGAAAAAGATACTGAAAGGTCTAGAATGAGTCCGGAGTTTTCACATTTCTTAAAACGGGAAAGGACTGATGTCATGAGAATCACTCTGAAGGGCCCATGATGCAATCAGTTATGGTCACAATAGGCTCCTGGTATGGGCAGGTATCATTAAAGATGAGTTTAATAGACCATTTTGAGTTGAAGGTGGACTGGAAAGTGAACTGTACTCAGCAGCAACAGTGTCTGAATGCTGTTGTTGATTGATAGATAATAGTTATATAATAAATAATCATATAATAATAAATAATGTGTGTTGGTTACAATTTGTGTGTAGTCAAAATGTCTCTGAAAACATTTGGTTTTGTTAATTTATTTAATAAAAATACTTAAGTAAGAATTTGATCAATCATTTGAATGTTCACCAATACATCAACAGTTGTTGTTTGTTGATCTTAAAGTTGGCATATCCAACTTTCTTTTTTAATTCGCCAGAAATAATTTTGTAAGACCAACCAGACCACATTACTTTTATAAGCATCTTATCAGAGAGAGAATAATCCCGCACACCGTCTTACTTGCAAATTAAAAATGATTTATTTAAATTGCGACATTTTGGCGTTATGCCGCTTGATGAAGGCATAACGCCGAAAAGTCGCAATTTAAATAAATAATTTTTCATTTGCAACTAAGACGGTGTGCGGGATTATTCTCTCTCTGACATTAGGCAATACAGGCCTCTCCTCCTATGCACTCGAGGAGTGCCACACCACATCTTATAAAACATTACATCTTGAAAGCACAGATGTCATGCATCATGTGTCACTATTTAATGCTTTGGGTTGAGAAGTGATTGAGTTTGGTCCTATCTTTTTTAACTTTTTGGTCTGAAAATCTGATCGAAAGATGTAACAGAGGCCACAAAATACATACATGTGGAGACTAATAATAAAAATAGTGTTAATACATGTTCATATAAATCATTATAACATGAAAAAGATAAAAATAACAAAAACAAAATAAAGCATGCAACAAAAAGGACAGAACAAACACACGACAGGGTATAACAATAAAAAACAACATGTACAAAATCTGAAGGTGCATTCTCTTAAGGAAGGCCATGGATAGAAAACCAACTTACTTTTTTATACAGAGGAACTGGGATTTTTTTTTAATGTCAATTAAATGTTCAACCTTGCAGCTGTCATTGCTGTGTTTTGTCATCTCTTTGTTTTGTTGACATAAATGCATAGACTATCCTCAGGTCTGTACAGTAGCTGAACCCAAAAACCCAAAGGTAATGAAAGCCATTGATAATACGGGACAACCAAGACCAAAGTACAGATCTACGCTGTGGTTAACAGAGGAGTCATCAATAGCAAGCAGTGGTAATAGCCTTAAATAGACCCTAATTAAAGAAAATATTTGCATACTTCTTCAATGACGAACACGTGTTGTATATGATTCTTCTGTAAACTCCACATTCCTGCAAAGAAAGGAAGCAGCCTGCTGTAGATTATCAGTACAAATACACAGTCGCTTTGGCCGCTAGAACTTCACAAAACACATAACAGAAAGTGCAAACTCAAATTAGAGGCTTTACATGAACCCAGATCTGTTATAACTGAGAACAAAGCATTCTCTCAACACAGATTGTCTTAAATTTCTCAAGAAAGTCAATAAATAAATCCACTCTTGAGGCAGCAGAGAGGCAAAACTGTTTGATGCTATTTAGTTGTATTCAATCTATATTTATTATTTTCCTTCATCAATTACCTTAACAGTCTGCGCAATCTGTTTTCCTCCATTGAATTGTTCTGGATAAAAGAGACTATAGGGTACAGAATAGGAAAGACATGAAAAGAAGCGAGATCTGCAAGTTCCATTATAAGTTTTCATAGATAATAGAGCTGCTACTATGAACGGCGCTGTGAGTAGATTAATGTGGAGAGGGGGAATAAGAAGCGAGGTCCATGGAAAAGAGAAGTTTGGCCTGCTCTATCAATTACACTTGTGGAATGTGTCTCTGGGGGCGTGGTTTAGAGGAGAGTGAGATGGGATAAACAGATAGATAGTCAAAAAATGGGAGTTATATTTATTACTCCAATACAATTACTCATTGTGACTTATTATGTTGTGCATTTTAACAACACGTCGCAATTCTGCCTGTATTTTCTAATTAAACGGCAGTCTGCATCCATGCTTGCACATGTATTGTGGACTAACTCTAAACTAAACAAGGGACCCATAAATAACTAGAAAACCCCTGGTAGTGGTGAATATACAACTTTTTATGTGAACAAAATAGTTTGTATTTTTTGCGGATATGGCCTTGTGGCTATTTGAGTGGGCAGCATGATGCCTTAACCTTTGTTCACGGTTGTGTCTGCAGTGCTCTGGATGAGTTGTTTTTGTATGTTTTTTAGTGCACAAAATATGGTAAAATGTATAAATGATTATAATTTATCCCATTCATTAAGTTACTATTCTAGCCACAGCTGCCCTGAGACAGATTCATGTGGGTAAATGGTCTTGCCTAAGGACACAGCCATTTTACAGTTTCAGCGCCCACACTGATTTTTTGAATTCTTTATTTTGCTCTAGTTTGCTTTTTTAATAAAATTTTTGTATATAACATTTAAGATATACCTTATGTTTTTGGCTCCCTGCCGAGAGGACCCTGGAGAAACATCTGTGATTGTGACTACCAGACTATTGGAAGCCTAATTGTCTCGATTATAGGAGCGCAGTAAGTAGCCGGAATGGACTGATGTGGAGGAGGTGGAGGAATGAGAAGGAAAAACAAGCCACAGTCAAATTAGAAGGAGGTAAAAAAGACGCTCGAGGCTGGGGAGGACAGGGGGAGTGGAGGATGGTGATGGAGGGAGAGGAGGAAGTGTAGGGAAATCCAAGGTTTTAAGTCAGATTAAGGCAATGACAACAAAACAGTCAATTTGAAGTACTCACTTCTACTGTTCTTCCTCCTCAGGCAACTCTCCATTGATCAAGAACAGACTGATGTTTTGCCATTTACGAGAGAAATAAACTGCTTTTTTTTTAGCTTTACTTTACTGATTAATGCTAAGGTATCTCCTGATCATAATTAACACATGTTGTTTTTCCTAACAGAAAGAGTACTGTAAAAGTCAAATTAAGTGAAAAAATCAGACCACATCATGCTGTCCATTTATCTTTTACCTACTTTTAAGAAAGAGTGAGTCACTATTTAACACAATGTCAAGTTTATTTATATCGCACAAGAGCTTAAAGTTCCAGACGCTCCATAATGGACTAAACTAATTAGACCTAAAATCATGACTCAGCTCAGTTTGTGCAAAAGCCCAAGTCTCTACTGACTATGAGATTATGAGATTTTGAATAAATTGTATCTCAAAATGCATTGGTAATCTATACATCATTAAAGCTAGTAGCAGCACTAAACCAGGGCAATACCTGCAACCTGGCAAAGCTAAAAAACAGTTGCTTAACCCATGACTAACCCTGCAGTAATTCATCATGGGAGCAAGAACTTAAACCAGCTCTAAATTATAGGGGGTGAATGGGACAGCCTGTGCTCAGTGGGGGTCTGTGGAAAGTAGAGGAGAGTGGAGGAGGTGTCGAAGTACCCCCTTTTTTAAAACAACCCAGAGGTGCACTGGGATCGCCGGGACACTGAGGTTTTCTGTTTGTTCCACTTTTATTTCCGACAAAAGTTACGTAATGTCCAAAAAAAGACGATGAACGTGTGTAAAAACTTGTGCCAAAACCAACTTGGAATGTTGTATGGTTGAATCTTCAGACAAAGACGCAGGCTCAGAGCGGTTCTCACTGGAGCTAATAACCACTAAAACAGCAGGACTTTTCCATCCAGTCATTCTTTCAGCGCATTTACTGTCAATTTCAAGTTCATGTTTAGCGTTTACTAAAAAAAATTGCTCGCCGCCTGAAAGCACTTTATAGATTCAGATAATGACATCGCGCCCTGGCTTTGATCACTGTTTTTGATGCGTTTTTTTCCCATAGAGATTAGAGATCAAGGTTTAATGTCAAATTGGAGACAGGCCCAGCAAAGCTCTTTTGAAGTTAAAAGTGGGTTTAGTCTACATATTGTATACTACTTTTTATTGTGCTTTTATTCCTCTCTTCATTTGTAATGTGGAAAAGGCTGCCATGTGTTGAGATGTTATAAAATTATCATGATGCAATGAAATAGCCATCATCCAACAAAAGGCTTTACTGCTTTTATGTCTGGTTGATAACTTGAATCAAAAAGGTCCGTCTGGGGTTTGTCCTGGTATAGACAAAGTTCAAAAGCCTGTCAAGTGATCGCAGAAAACTAATTTATTGAAGACCTTAGGCAATTAAGTTAAACAAGGTAGTCTGGGTGTATTTGTTTTGTGCAACCACATCTCCACAAACCCAATTTGCTAAAAGTGCTTTGGAGTTTTCTTCCATTGGGCCAAGTTACCTCTGCCAGGCTAAACCAATGCAATACCAAGCTAAACTTTGACAAAATCTAAACTCAAGTTCGAACTAAGGATACAGTCATGCAGCTTTTTATGTCCCAATGTCGATCTTGATACTAAAGCCTTCAATATTCCTGTA